GGGGGGGGGGGGCAGAACGCAAACCACTGTAGAACCTCAACGGACACCCATCCCCGGCATCAATCGACCACCATGGTGTTGCGAGGCTCTGCAAGAAATCTTGCTGCCCCCAGACAAGTTTATCGACCTGAAGAAGAAGGCACGCTGATCGCGATGCGTTTTGCGCTGGACAGGGATTGCGTTGGTGCACATCGTCCGAATCGGAGAAGCCTGGAGCCATAAGCCATAAGCCACGCTGTCTCTATCCTGTAGATCACGCTTGTTTTGCATTGATTTCTGCCTCTGCGAACTATACGTGCACGTCAAGCCACCATCCCAGCATGAGCCCTTTAGAGTTGCGATAACCAGACGGACCCTGCACCAGCATCCCAACTTAAGTACCAGGGGGCAAGAAGAGAAACAGTATCTAAAGGGGAGTTGATGCCGTGGAAGATGATTTCAAGAAGCTCCCCGCTCATACGGAGCTTTCTTTGCGACTCTCCATGCTCATCATGTTAAAGGACTAGGAATCCCCACCTTTGTGTTTGCAAGCAAAGGCAGCCTTAGTCAGCAGCCTCTAATTAGTCCAATGTCCCTGTGGTTTAGGGTCCAGGGGTTTAGGGCTCAGTCAGGGTCTGAAGCTGTTAAACTACCCATAGGTTCCATTGTAGTTCCTTTTTGTGGTTTATGTTTTCGGATTCTATATAGGGTAATCCCCAAAAGGAACTACTATGGAGCCTATGGGTAGGCACAAGCTATGAGAAGGCAGAGTACCGATTCTGAAGCAGGGGATATGCCTGTGTAGACCTAGTGTTGCTTGAAGCTTTCGCCCTTTTGAACTTGATGTGCGCAGCGATGGGCTCGAGCGTGATCCTCGATGCGTTCCATTGTTTTCAGGCGTGGCCATGACAGCCGAGGCGCTGCGTGCAGAGATCGAGGCCACCAAAGCGTTGACACAGACAGAGCGGGCAAGGAAACGAGAACTGCAAGTGGCGACAGAGGAAGCTCTCGAGCGGCAAAGGCTGCGGCGACAGCTGGAAGAGCACAGGAAGACTCTCGAAATGGAGCGGGCAGACAACGCCGAAGAGGAGATGTACAGAAGAGACATAGATGCGGACGAGAACGGAGATGTGGCACACCCGCTTGTCTTTGGCCCAGCGCTTCTTCCTCCCAAAGGCTGCCATGCGCGTGCATTCGGTGAGGAGCATGCGGATTTCGGTCACGAGGTTGCCAAATGCGAGTACACATGGAAGCTTAATCACATGTCTTGGCTTCGAGCTGCCGTTGGACGACAAGGAACTGCCCGGTCTGAATGGTTTCAGGTCGGCGAGTACAAGTTCCAGTTTGTCTACAATCCTGACGCAGGTTTTGTCACGCATCACAGGGATGGCTTTGAAGGCACTGAGAATATGTGTGGTTCTGTCGCCATAATAACGCCACGCACGCTGGACCATTTCACACTTCGCTATAGCGTGTTTGCCAAAAAGTGCGGCAAGGAGTTCGTGCAATGGGGCAACATGCAGGAAAATTTCAAATTCTCGCTTCACGGCAAAGCAGTTGGACCGGATGTGCATCGACTGGGCTCCCCTCCAACATCAATCGGAGTCTTCGGCCTGTCGCATGAACAGCTCTTGCAGTCGGAGTGGGTCCACGACGACGCTTTGACTTTGAAGTTTGTTCTGGAAGTTCGTCCATGTGGAGATTATTCGTCACAGGTTTTTGCAGGAGAGGTTGTGGATGTTCCGGAGCCGACCCTGCATCGCGACACGCTGACTCTGCTCGAGGAAGCTGGTTCCAGCGACATGCACTTCCGGGTGCAGGGTGAGGTGATCCACGCGCACTCCCAAGTTCTCTGTGCGAGATCGGAGGTGTTCAAGAAGCAGCTGAACTCGGGAATGCAGGAAGCCAACTCGAAGCTGATCGTGATTGAAGACTGCAACGCTTCCACTTTCAAAGACTTTTTAAAGTTCCTGTACACTGACACCCTGCCCACCGTCGAGGACCTGGCAGAAGAGCCAGCGAGCCAAAGCTTGAAAGAAGATGGCAGTCGGCATCCTTCACGGATGGAGGCATTGTGGGCAGTCGCTCACAAGTATCAGGTGGGGTGTTGCGAATAGATGGCTGCCGTTAACTAGGGCCTTAGATAGACAGTTGCTCTCACAGGGTTTAGGGCTTAGGGTTTAGGCCCTAAGCCCTAAACCCTAAACCGATTACAGTCCGAGTCTTAGCCTTGTGGCAATTTTTTTGTTCTGGGACTTGGGCTTGCATGCTAAATCCAGGTCCCAGGGCTATAGCGGGCCTGGACTGCGTAAGGGTTGCCACGTTGAGCTGTGTCGGTATGCACTTTCAGATGCTTGAACACATGTAGCTTGTGCGGGCATACTGTCCTAAGTCCTTGCAGGTGGTGTCAGCATTTTTTGCTTTCTACGGCAGGTCTACTTACCAGGAAGTTCAACTATTGCTTTCAAGATGCTCCTTCGAATGAAACTTCTATTTTGTTTGGTGGAAAGTATTGGACCGTCGGCTGGTCGACGAGAAAACCTAGAGAAAATCTAAAATCCGCGTTTTCAACGAAATAAAGCATTCAACCCGGGGTTGAGCCTTTACTACTGAATTTCTGCGTATGAGGTAGCACTCCTTTTTGACAGCCACGCAGGTAGAACGGCTTCAGCGTTGGTGTGAAGCGCAGCTCTGCAAGCAGCTCAGCGCGGAGCGGGTCTGCAGCGTCCTTCGCCAGGCCCATGTCTTCGAGGCCACGCAGCTCGAGAAGGTTTGCCTGTCCTACATCAAAGACAACTTTGCGGAGGTGCTCGGGCTTCAGGCCTACAGCGATCTCATGAGCAAATGGCCTGAGGTTGCGCTGAAGGTCCAACTCTACTCGACGGGCGTGCCAGAATCCCAGGCAGCTGCAATCGTGCAGGCTCGCAAGGTACGAAAGTTGGAGGATGGAGTGGAGAAGATTTCGTAGAGAGCGAGGGCGACTGCGATTGCATGGCTCTCGCTTCTTGTGTAGCTTCATGGTGCTTGCCATCGGCCTCTGCCTTTGATTGTTAAAACGTGCTTCGACATTGCCTTGCGGGTTTCGGTGCCAGCAGGGTCTGTTTTGAAGACTTTGGGGGCAAGTTTGGAAAGAACGATTTGGGAATGAGTATTGGGTTTCCGAGCTTTCTATAGCAAGCCCGATTTTAAGATCCAATTAAAAGTAGGGTTCTTTCAACAACAGCAGACTTGCGATCGAAAGGCAAACAACTTAATTGTTATTTCGAGGCCATGTCGCCATGCACGAGTGCTGCCCTAGACCCTATACCCTAAACCCTAAACCCCAAAACCCTAAACCCTAAACCCTAAACCGCAGAATTTCGCACCCAGAAGGCTGGACCCCGCTCAATGCGCCTTAGACCCAGCCAGCGAGAGGGCCACTTAGATCCCAACCACCTGCAATCCTGCAGCCCCGATTCTCAAAGACAGGACTCTTCTACTACCCATAGGCCCCTAAGTAGTTCCTTTTTGGGATTACCTTATAGGATTCTGAATGTAAACCATAAAGCGGAACTACTTAGGGGTCTATGGGTGTAGGTCTTAATGTAAACACCCACAAAGCCCTATAACACAAGGCTGTTTTACTAGGCTTCTCCCAGAAGCATCTAGTAGCCCCCCTGAGAACCTTCTTCCATAGCTGGGGAGGTCGACAGTGAGCTGGAACGCCGAGCAGAACGGAAAGAGGCACGTAGGGTTTAGGGTTTAGGGCCGTAGGGGTTTGGGGTGTAGCGCGTTTTGGCAAAACCGTTATGGTGTTTAGAGTTTAGGGGATAGGGTTTAGGGTTCCAGGGTTTACGGGGGCCTGGGTTTAGGATAGAAGCCTGAAACAAGTGTTTCGAAGAGTATTCCTCAGGGCTCCATGCTTAACAATATTTAAATTTAAATGCAGCTATACCCCTCCCCAAACCCTAGTTTAATCATGACGGCAAATGTAATGGGCATGTCGTAAAGCAACATCATGCACTGTAAGACCCCACTATCAAGCCCACATCGCAATCTTCGACATCCCGATAGACAGCGTGGTGACATCCTGCACGATCCCATAAAACTCTTTTCAGACTCAAAGGGAGCATTTTGGTTTGGTTGCACGGGACCCTAAACCCTAAACCCTAAAGGTTGATGTTCACAGCTTTGGTGTGCAGGTTCTGGGAGTCCTGATGGATCTACTCGATGTTTTGATGAACAGCCTGTCTCATTTATCATGTTGGAGGGCTTGAGGTCTAAGGGTTTAGGGAGTTTAGGATTTAGGGTTTAGGGTAATTATCCTCGCAGACAGAAACAAACCTCAGCTGGGCTGAATCGGAGTTGGAGCAGCTAGCAGGGGTTCTGGGCAGGGAAAGAAGCAAGTCAGGGTTTGAAAGCTGGTGCCTGACGTTTCGGTCGCCCTGGCATTTTATTTCGTAATTTTGGGTTTTCCATTCCTAAACCCTAAGCACTAAACCCTCGGCTGAATAGAAGAAGTCCCCATTGCATCTTCCAGCGGTTGGGCAGAAGGAAATTTGGATCCCGTGGGTGTGCAGGGTTAATTTAAGGCTTATAGGGTTTGAGGTTTCGATTTTCGAGTTTCCGGTTTCGAGCTTAGGTTTTTTTGAATCTATGTAAGGTTTCGGTAGTTCAAGGCATTTGTACACTTCTAACCCCTGTACTTCCCCCCCCGCTCGTAGTAGTAGGCCGGAGTCGCGAAGCCCGAGGTCTCAGGGGAGGATGAGGATGATCACTCTATGGAGGTCGAGATCAAGCCCACCATGGAGGAGATATGGCTACTTCTCGAAATTAGGGTCCGTCTCAATATAGTATGGCACCCTTATAGAAAGGACCTTTAAAGGGACCCTTTTTAGAGAACTTCTTTGGCGTTGGGTTTTAGTCTCTAGGGCCGTGGCTTTGGAACTCAGTGGTGAAGGTGCTGAGTGCTGCCATACTTGTTGGAGCGTTGCCATCATGACGATGATGGTGTCGCGGTGTTGATGGTGTCTTTATGTCTGCTTATATTGATCGTGGTTTGTTGTCACCACTTATGGAATCAGCACTACAACACCGTCTGTCTTGGCCGACTATTACGCGTGGTCTTTGCGACGTACTGCATCACATCTTTTCAGTATACCCCTACATTCTGATGGTGAAGGTCGTGTGCACATATGGTGCTGTGATTTACTTCTGTTTTGAGATGGTGAAGGCCGTCTCTAATGATTGTTTTGTTCCTTCAACAAATAAACTAGTGTTTTGGAGTTTCTTGTAGTGCTTTCATAGAGGCGCTATTGGGTGATATCTCTACTACGCACTCCGACCCTAGTTGTTGCTGCTCGAATCATGACCGTGCCTGCTTCTCTCATACACTTGGAGCCTTGGAAAGACCTAAGGCCTTCAACTGGTGTGGGGTTTACAGTTGAGGTTTCAAGGTTTAGGATTTGAGGCTAGAGGTTTTGAGCCAGCAATGGGAGAAAGCCCTACACCCCAAAAGCTAAGCCCCTAAAGCCCTGAACCCTAAAACCCTAAACCTTAACCCCTGAAGGAGCTTTCGGAGAAGTATGGCATGGCCAGAGCGCGTCTTGACTTTTTCCACGACCTGTTCCAGAGCTTCCTACCGCCCAACAAGGCCGGATGTGTGGGGTCAAACGAGTTTAGGATTTGGGGTTTAGGGGTTTGGGGGTTTAGGGTTTAGGGTTTTGAGTTTAGGATTTGGGGTTTTTTGGGTTTAGAGGCCAGGGTCCCGAGTTTAGGATTTTGGGTTTAGGGGCTTTGGGGGTTTAGGGTTTAGGGTATCAAACACCGCCTGTGGCCAATCATAGTATGTGCTTTGCTCCAACTACTGTTGGTTTCCGGGGGGCTGTACCGTTGATGAAGGCTTAGGTGTCAAGCTCAGTCCTGCCAGAGTTCTAAAGAGTTGAAGTGAAAAATATATCCACCCCCCAAACCGTCGAACCAACAGCCATATAGGAAGGGACTTTGGCTGTAGGATTGTCGTATTCTGTTGGGGCTAAGGACAGCGGTTTAGTAAAACTCCATGATGACAAGCAGGCAGATGTACTATCGGCTTTTTTCCACCGGGAAATTTAAATAAAAGCCGAAGCCCTAGGTCAGGTGCTCGCAAGGGTCCAGGTAGGCTTGAGTGTGCCTGGCAGACTGTGGGTGTTCATGCCTTTCCCAAAGGGTCCTAGGTACTTACATGGGGGATACTTGCCCAAACCACAATGGTAATTCCCATTATGGAAACCCTACATTCGACTATATAGGTACTTAGGACCCTTTGGGCTTTGGTATTTGTGTAGCGCTTTAGGGTTCAGGGGTTCGACATCAAGAAGAACATCCTAGGACCGAGGAGTCCGACGTGGAAGAAAATGCTGTGACTGCTAGAACAGCCTGCGACCTGTGGAGTGGACAACCAAAAAAACTCTGTAACTCTCCAAGCTCGTCGACAATCCCGAAACCCTAAACTCTAAACCGAGCTTCGGACAAGAGTCGCAGTGATCAGTTCTCAACGCCGCCATCATTACCACGCACATACTGTTGATGCTATAAGTCCTGCATTATCTTACGGACCCTAAAATATGGGAATTATGGCATATACCTTATTATGGGTAATGCAGGATTTAGATCATCAACCGTACTTCGATTGAGCGAATCAGTTGCAGCATTGGTCGGACGGGCCGTTCCAATACCATTGCCAGCAGACCATGCCAGTTCCGAAGACTGAGACGCAGCAGGCATGCAAGCGATACACCTGTTGTGCTTACGAGCATCCTCCTGACTATCATCGACATCGCATCCTCGCTATAGTAAACTATACTAGAGTATGCACCAAACCACTAGAACGCAAATGGCAAACCTGATCATACACCAAAGGTCCGAGTCTAATTATTCAACCGCTTTCGCACCCCTCATCTAATTATCATTTTTAATGTCATGATTAGTATTATTATTGCTCATATTATTGTGCTTATTATTTTTCTGATTTGTGATGGCTGTACAACGCTTGGGCTCCTATAGCAACCCCTCATCCCTGTTGGACCAGGATGGGAGTCCGGGGATCTGCGGCTATCCCGAAAATCCTGCCGCACCCGGCTCGGTGGTCTCGAGGGAGTCTTGCTGGGCTGTAGGGGTAGGGTTTACCCTACACCCTAAACCCTAAACCCCTAAACCCCTAACCCCTAAACCTTTAGGGTGTGGGTTTAGGGTTTCGGGTTTAGGGCTTAAGGGTCAGGGTTTAGGGTTTATTAGGGATGCTTTCAGTTCTGTGTCTGAGTTGAGTTTCGCTTGGTTTCAGGGGTAGGGTTTAGGGTTGCAGCTCGGTTGAGTTTCGATGGGTCTTCGGGGTACCTATAGTCTCCATTGTAGTTCCTTTTTTTGGTTTAACCAATTCTATATTAAGGATCCTAAAAAGTAACCCCAAAAAGGAACTACAATGGAGACTATGGGTATGGTTTAGGGTCTGGGGCTTGGTTGGTTAGGGTATGGGGACTCGTTCTGTCTAGGGGCTGGTTGGAGTCTCGCTAGGGTTTTAAAGGCCATGGGGTTTTGGGGGATCCAGGTGTTGGGGAGATGAGAGTTTATTCAGGCTTTGTGGGTTTGGGCGGTCTACGTTCCCCAAACCGTAGACCCTTGTCCCAAACCTTGTGTACGTATGGGGGGGCTAGTGAATGCTGCTGCTGCTGCGGAAAGTCCTGGTTTTGTGGAACAGTCGCTTCATGTTGGCGGCTTACGTCGTTTCGAGGTTCCCCGGAAACATCTTAGCAACAGCAACAGGGAGGTAAAGACGCTAAGTTCCGTCTTAGAGAACGAGCGCATGAGGTTGCATGAACCTTCTTCGCTAGCGACTCCAACGACCCAAACCCTGTGCAAGCCGCGTATGCTTCAAGCAGTGTAGATACAGGCCGACGCTGCATCCTGAAACAACTAAAGACTATAGTCTATACTTAGCACCCCCGAAGCCGA